GGGGGACAGTCCTCCACCCTCCTCTCAATGCCTCCGTGGGGGGGGGGACAGTCCTCCACCCTCCTCTCAATGCCTCTGCATGTGTCCATGGAGCCTGCCTGCCACGTGTCTGAAATGGAGTAGGAAGTGAGTTCACACAGTGCTGGGAGCCAGGATCTGAGCAGGGCTCTCCATCGCCAACACTAGCTTGCCTTGCTGCTCTCCTCATCCCTTGCTTGGTTCTCCCCATTCTTGAGGAGCAGAAGGGAGCAACAGACAAAAGGCATGTGCTATGCAGCTGCAGGACTTAGAAACTACTCACCAACGCATGCGCAGGACTCCAGCTCCTGTTCCCTCTTGCAGAAAGGGATGCATTTCCCAGCCTTGCACTTGCCAAGGTCCAAGCAAACAGTGTCATCTTCAGCATCTCCTGGTGGGGGGCACTCACTGCTATTCCCTGGAGCCAAACACCAATTAAAACTCAGTCCAGGGCATAACAGTTGCCACATAAGAATGAGGACCCGGCAAACAGCAAAGCCTCAAGCAAGGGCTGCTTTCACTTGAAGGAAACTTGATCCTGGTTTCAAATACATATTCACATGCCACAGGACACCTGGAGAAGCAACGGAAACACATACCTGTGCAGTAAGACACTCCTTTGCAAGTAGCATTAATAGCCTCCTGGCACTTCTTCTGGGCCGTTTCAAATTGACAGTTTTTACAGCACGGACTGTTCCTATCACTATGGAAGAGCAGACAAACACCATTCAATTCCAATGAAAGCCCAACCTCAAATGCTATGGCTGTGATAGTCACCCAAACACTGAAGCAATACCCCAGGGCCAAGTCAGTGTGTGTGTGTGTGTGTGTGTGTGTGTGTGTGTGTGTATCCATCCCTAAATGTGAAAAGTAAATACACATAGCAATCACCTTTATAGTAATTGGTATTCTTTGTTTTCATTAACTAGCTAAGAAAAAGGCCAGGTTAGCCAGACAGTGATAGCGCATGCCTTTAATCCCAGCAGTCAGAAGCAGAGGCAGGCAGCTCTCTGAGCTGGAGGCCACCCTGATCTACAGAGTGAGTTCCAGGATAGCTAGGACTACAAAGAGAGACCCAGATTTGGGGCTGTGGGGAAATGCACCAGTGGCTAAGAAACAAAGCAGCCTGAGTCCCATACCACTGCCAATAGAATCTACAAGTTAGAAGGTACAATGTACAGATAACTTATTCACCAAACACTGGTCTATTAGGGTACTTAAAAAATGGAAATGCAGGCACCTTCCCATCTGGAATTTGTTTAATATCATTAGACAGCACCTCCACATAATTCTATTCTATGGGTATGCAGTAACAGTTTATATTGTAATAGTACCACCTTAGATTATTCCAATATTTTGCTATTGTGACAGATGGAGGCAAAAGTAAGCTTGTTAAATCAACTTTGTTTATTTTAAAAAGATTTTGGATTTTCCACAGAGTTTCACTGTGTAGCCTTGGCTGGCCTGGAGCTTACTACGTACACAAGGCTGGACTCCAACTCATAAGAATCTGCCTCACCCTGCTTTTCAAGTTCCGGAATTAAAAGCATGCCCCACCATGCTTTTAAAAGATTTTTTTTAAATTCCAGTGAGACAGCTAGTAAAGGCAGTTACTACAAAGCCTAATTTTAAAATAAAAATAAATCTTAAAGCACTAGGGAGGCAGAGGTAGATGGATCTCTGTGAGTTCCAGGATAACCTGGTCTATCCAGAGAAAGTTCCAAGTCAGCCAAGCTGCCTGCATTTGCAATTTCCTATTCTCTGGACCCTCATTACCCCAATCCCCTGCCTCTCTGGGAATAGCTCTCACCTGCACTGTACACCTGGCTTCAGAGTGCAGTCACTATTGCAGCAGGTGTCGTTGTTCAGGTACATGATGCCCGGGTCACACTCTTCTCCTTCATCCACCCTGGAGTTGCCACACACCTTGTTGCTGCGCTCCTGGAAGCACTCTTGAGCCTTACTCTCTATGGTCTTGAGGATGGACTGTTTACTGCAGTTTGAAAACATCTTAAAAGAAAAAATGGCCATGAGAGTGGAAAAGACCGAGATGAATGCATTCCCATGGAGTGCTACTCTAGACAAACCTAACTACGAAGACCCCACCAACGCCACCACTGTGTCAAGCAGTCACCTGCAAATGCCACAGTAAGAAGTTACTAAAATAGAGTAAGATAGGAAAGACCAATTACTAGACAATGATATACTGAATGGTTTACTTAAAGCACTGCCTGTACTACCTATTGGCAAGCATGACCTCCCTTGCTGCCTGGAACAGAGTGACCTGGAGGAATAGCTGAAAGAACAAGCTGCTGCAGATTGCCACCTATGCCTCAGAAAATCCTGCCTGCCTGCCCAGCCCACCCTGTGCTTTTAGAACAGTGGTTCCAACCTGTGGGTTGTAACCCTGCAGATGAGATGTTTATGTTACAATTCCTAACAGCAGCAAAATTACAGTTATGAAGTAGCAATGAAAATCATTTTATGGTTGGGGTCACCACAGCATGAGGACTGTATGAAAGGACTACATCATTAAGAAGGTTGAGAACCACTTGTCTAGAATATAAAATGAAGAATTCAAACTGAACCCAGCAGAAAAACCTTCCAGGAGCTCCCTGGCTCCAGTCCACCACCGACACTGGTGTCGAAGTGCTGATTTAAGAAAGGGTGCTACAACTTTCTTCCCCTCTAGTCAATACAAAATGGCTAGGGGTTTTGTTCCATTTTCTGTTTTAAAACAAGGGTCTCAAAACAGCCTGACTCCCGGCCTGGAACTCTCTAGACCAGGTTTGCCTTGAACTTAAAGATACACCTGCCTCTGCCTCTCAAGTGCTGGGGTTAAAGGAGTGCACCCATATGCCCCACAGGTCAAAATGGTTAGTGACCTTAGATAAGGACATAAACCACCACAGCCAGCAAGAATACCTCTTCATTAGCAGTTAAACTCTCATACATGGGTCTCCAGGGCCTAGACTGTGCTTAGCACATAGTGACCAATCTGTCACTGGCTTTCTGACCACCATCTCTAACCCTAGTCTTGTATTTATACCTTTGTCTACAGTCTTGCTTTCTTTCAGTGTCCTTCTCTAGGAGGTCACAGCCCTCAGCATTCCTTCTTTCTTCCCACTAATATCAGTGTTCACAGCTCCTGGAGCACCATAGGGCAGCTGCTGGTGGCCCATCTAGTAACAAAGAGGGCTATTTGTCCAGGTGAAATGAAAGAACCACCTTATTTCTATAATCCTATAGTCCTTTTTTTACCTAGTTAAAAAATGTTTAAGAAACTCATGAACTGGGCATGGTGGTATACAACTTTAATCCCAGCACTCAGGACACAGAGGCAAGAAGACCTCTGTGGATTCAAGCCTGATCTACACAGGAAGTTCCAGGACATCCAGGGGTGTAGAGAGACCTTGTCTCAAAAAGAGGAAAAGAAAGAAAAACAAAACAAGAAAGGAAGGGAGGGAGGGAGGGAGGGAGGGAGGGAGAGAGAGAGGGATGGAGGGTGAGAGGAGAGAGAGAGAGAAAGAGAGAAAAAGTAGGTAGTTAATTCACGTAGGGCCTCTCTGCAGGTAAAAGAACCCTGCTGCAGACCAAACCCGATGACCTGAGCACAGTCCCCAGATAAAAGGAAAGATCCCAAAAAGCACGTGTCATGGCATACACATGACATCCACAAATAAATAAATGTAAAAAAAGTATTTGAAAAAATCTAAAACATAGACGATGCATAGTATTTTTTCCTAAGGGGAGAAAGATACCAGTTGGGAAAACTAAACTGTTAGGAGAAAATATGCACTAAATGTGATGGATGTAGGACCAAACCCTATGCTTCACTGACAGCTCAGCATCTCCCCAAAACACCAGTTCTGCCCACGCTCCACTCCCAACAGCAGGTTCTCACAGGCCACGGGGATTTCCACAGAAGAGGAAGTAACATCATGTGCTTTCCCTTACAGCAGAGTGCAAAGTTGAACAGTCCCCAAGCTGGCAGTGTCCTCACAACCAGAGCAATCCAATATGGAAGCCATGTGGGAGTTTCTCCTCACTGGGTGTCTTACAGTCTACCGCAGAAGCGTCCGAGCGTGCAGTAAATAGACAGCAGTCTCACTGATGCTCACGGCCCTCACAAGCTTCCACACAGCTTCACAGTTTTCTGTATTTACCCTTTTCCTGTCCATTTGTATTATTTGCTTTTAACAGTTTTATTAAGGCACATTTAATCCCTAGTGCAGCAAGGGATGGAGGAAGAGGAATGGGACTAGGAGGAAGGGTGGTGGCAGTATACTGTGAAGTACTGCTAAATTAAATGAGTCATAAATTGTAAATAAAACTGTCAGGTCATTTCTAAGGCTGAGCCAAATACTCTTTAAAAGTAGGACTCTGACAAAATCACTACTGTAGGGAACCCAAGCTTACATGACAAAACTGATCAAATGACAGTGTAAGCACCTTAAGATGAGCTTGTGTCACTGGAACCATACACCAAGTTCCTACAATAGTGACAGTTACACCTCTACGGAAACATCTAGGGATGGATACTTTCCCGAGACCCCTTTCTGCTAACATTCCATAGCCTTCTTGCCTGCCACTGAAAACAATCAAAACGCACATACCTTATTATTCTCATGGTCACCACTCACAGCTATGGGATACATAACATACTTTCCTCCTTGGTCCTCATTTGGGGCACATTCTGCTAGCCCATCAGGATCATGTTCTGCTCCAAAATTGTGTCCCAATTCATGAGTGGTAACCAGGTCAGCTTCCTTAAGAATCAGGGAAAGAAAGTATATAATCATCAGCTAATTTGCCAATTGGATCCATGCTATATTTTTCAGATCAAATGGAAACAGAATTACTCCCATAAGTCTCCGTATCCACATACACCCCACATAAAAAACTTTTCACATGCCAGGCGGTAGTGGCCCATGCCTTTAATCCCAGTACTTGGGAGGCAGAGGCAGGCGGATTTCTGAGTTTGAGGCCAGCCTGGTCTACAGAGTGAGTTCCAGGACAGCCAGAACTACACAGAGAAACCCTGTCTCGAAAAACCAAAAAAAAAAAAACCACCTTTTCACACTTATTTGTGCATGGGGTGGGGGGTGGCACAGTGAATGTGTGAGGTCAGAGTTCCAGCATAGGGAGGCAGAGGCAGGCAGAACTCTGAGTTCAAAGTCAGCCTGGTCTACAAAACAAGTTCCAGGACAGCCAAGGCTACACAGAGAAACCCTGACTCAGAAAAACAAACATCACCTACAAAATAAAACAAATAAAAAGATACTATCTCAATCTCCCTCTAGGTAGCTGGCAGATCAGATTACGTAACTTGGGGGTGGGATAGAATATGACTCAGTTTTTAAGGATGTCTACTGCACGTGCAGAATTTAGGTGCAACCACCTGTAACTAGTTCCAGGAGATCAAAAATGAGGGCTCCTCTGCACCCATAAACTTACACGGGCACATATGCATACATATAAACAACACATTCATTAGTTAAGAAAACAAAAATCAGCTTGATGGAGCATGAGAAATCACACCCAAAGTTGACCTCTGACTGCCACATGCATAGATAAGGAGAGGGGAGGTAAGGGGTGCGGGGTAGGGGGCTGGAAGGCAAATGTTCCCCCAAACACCTGTCCGGTTCCTTTTTCCATCTTTCGCCAACAGTGGCAACTCTCCTCTCAAGACTCACACCCATGCCTCGCAGGGATCCAGCTTAGGCTGTTACATGTGGAAGCAAGTGCCTTTACCTTCTTTTTTTTTTTTTTTTTTTTTTCCGAGACAGGGTTTCTCTGTATAGCCCTGGCTGTCCTGGAACTCACTCTGTAGACCAGGCTGGCCTCAAACTCAGAAATCCACCTGCCTCTGCCTCCCAAGTGCTGGGATTAAAGGCGTGCACCACCACTGCCAGGCATGCCTTTACCTTCTAAGCCATCTCAACCATCCCAATACCTTTACTATTTCTTGGGAGTGGAAAACAGTAACAGGATGCTTCAATACAAGAATGAACACCACACTGCTCTTCCTCCTTCAAGAATAAGAGGGACATGACCTTCCAAGGACAAAGAACAAGGGTGGAAGGCAAGAGCTGACAGATGCCAACAAAACTTTTAAAGTAGAAGAAAAAGTATACAAGTTTTTATATATTTAAAAAAAAAAGTTAAGGGGCTGGAGAGATGGTTCAGTGGTAAAGAGCACTGACTTCTCTTCCAGAGGTTCTGAGTTCAATTCCCAGCAACCACATGGTGGCTCACAACCATCTGTAATGGGATCTTCTTCTGGTGTGTCTGAAGACAGCAATAGTGTGCTCATATACATAAAATAAGTAAATTTTTTTAAAAAAAGTTAAATACTACAAGCATGGAAGAACAGAACTATACAGAAAGGGGATGTGAAAGAAGAGACTACTATAACTAAAACCAAAGGTCAGCACTGATGAAAAAGTTAAACACATATGTAGGAAACAACAATAAGACAAATGGAAAGCAAGAGAAAGCATTAAGAAGCAACAGATAATTACCCCAAATACCTGGTCTCTAACAGATCCCCAAACAGAACAGAAAAGCTACCCAGCCTACCTACAGTACTAGATAGTTGGGAGGCAGAGGGACTGCACTGGCTTAGGACACTAAAGCCACCTCAAGTGACACACTGCAGAGGATGAAAAACACATACACAAAAAAGCTTTCTAGGAAATAACACAAGGACACTTCTTAAAAAACAACTTGGGTATTTCTTTAGTGAATCTTTTTTATTTATTTTATGTATGTGAGTACACTGTAGCTGTCTTCAGATACAGCCAGAAGAGGGTATTGCATCCCATTACAGATAGTTGTGAGTCACCACTGGTTGCTAGGAATTGAACTTGGGGCCTCTGGAAGAGCAGCCAGCCTTCTTAAATGTTTGAGCCACCTCTCCAGCCCCGGAAGAATACTTTTAATGCAGGCTTCTTGCTACATGCCTACAATTCCAGCACTCAGACTGATAGAAGAGAAACTCAAAGTCCAGTAAGACTCTGTCTCACCAAAATTAAACACATCAAACAGAAAGTACGCATTGTGCATAAGGACAAAAGTATCTAGATTAAAGGGCCCCAACTCCTCCACAATGGAGGGAAAAATAAAAAGAGCCGGGTGGTGGTGGCACACGCCTTTGATCCCAGTGGAGCTCTGAGCACGAGGCCAGCCTAGTCTACAGAGCAAGTTCCAGGTCAGCCAGGGCTATTAGAGAAACCTTGTCTTGAAAAACAAACAAGCAAATAAACAAAATAATAATTATAATAATAGAGATTAGGTTGGTTTTAGTTATGTGCACTCAGTCTCTGCGTGGTTAGTGTTAGTACAGTGACTGGGAGTCTAGAAGAGGGTGCTGGATCCCTGGGGCTGGGAACCAAACAAAGGCCCCGTGAGACCAGGAAGCAGCTGTAACTGTTGAGCCAGCTTCCAGCCCCACATAGTTGATTTTAAGCTCAGATTCAACATACCAGTATATCATATACTAATTTTTCCTGCCAATACCTACTCTCCCTATTATAAATATACTTGGTTTTTTGAGACAAGGTCTTTACATAGTCCTGGCTGTCCTGGAACTCACTATATAGACCAGACCACTAGTGTTTACTGTATTTTCTATTATTTGTAGCAAAACATACTTAAACAGATATATCTATACCAAACCAAGTTGTTTTGCTTTGTTTTTTGAGACAGGTCTCAAGTATCCTGAGGTGCCTTGAACTTACTGAGCTGAGAACAATCTTGAAATGTTGATCCCCCAGTCTCCACCTTCCCAAGGGCTGGCATGCATCACTACCCCTGGTTTTAGGCTAGCATTCTACTAACTGTGCTACATCTCCAGACTCCAAAACAAGATATAAAAATCTTTGAGGAAAAAGAGGTCACAAACAAAGGCTAAGAACTCATACCCTTTTAAACAGCATATGAACACCAGCCAACAACAGAGCAAGGCCGTAAATGCTTAAGGGCAGAACACACCCAGCCACATTATCAACCAAGTACACACTGCTTTTTACAAAGATACCAGCATAAATATGTAACTAAGATATTAATGCAATGGATTCCAAATCTGTCCTGTTTAAAAACAAAACAGAGGCTGGAGAGTTGGTTCATTGGTTAAAAGCACTTGCTGACTTCCTGAGGCTGCATGTTCAATCCCAGCACTGATATCAGATGGCTCACAACCATCTATTGTAGCTCCAGCATCAGTAATTCCAACATCATCATCTGCTATCTGTAAGGACTCATGCTTGTGTGGATGTAGTGTGCACACACACTATTTTTTAATAAAGTTCTTTAAGAAAATAAAAAAACGGGGTCTGGAGAGATGGCTCAGTGGTTAAGAACACTGACTACTCTTCCAGAGGTCCTGAGTTCAATTCCCAGCAACCACATGGTGGCTCACAACCATCTGTAATGGGATTCAATGCCCTCTTCTGATATGTCTGAAGACAGCAACAGTGTACTCATATACATAAAATAAATAAACCTTAAAAAAAAAAAAGGATAATCAAAAAAACATACCTTTGTAAGAATGGTTTTACCATAATTTTTTGTACTAGTCAGACCACTATTCAAATAGATGTTTTTCTTCACAGCTGGGTTGTAATAAGCTAAAAGAAAAAGGAAACAGACAAAAATTGCCTCTTAAACATGGAACTGAAACATAACCCAATCAGCTTTCTTTTTCATCTCTCTCATGAGAGTGCAATGAGACACTTACCTTTTGGACAAACCCCTCCATGACTATTGGCTCTGGGAGAACCAACGTAAGCTAATCCAAGAGTTCCCATATCAAAATCTTGGTACGTGAAAAGATGAGCCAGGCAGACTTTAGATGCTTCTTCAGCTATATCAAGGCTAAATTGCTGTAAAAGAGGGAATTCTTAATTAGCTCGTCATCATGTCAGATTCAAGGGTACTGCAACCAAACATCACAGGACAGCTGCAGCTCAGCACTAGCACCTACAATAGCTTGCAACACAAATGCTTTCCCTGGGGCTCACACCTAAGCAGGCAGGTAGGAAGCACAGTGGTTGTAGAGGTGGTGGGTAGCCCTCAGGCACCTTTCATCTACTCAGAATGAACTCATTGCTCTTCCAGAGACCTCATCAGGACTAGAGCAGCTCCAATTCCAAACAGACTGCAGCCCCATGCTACAGTACGTCAAAGTATTTCAGGAGTTTAAGAGTGCTATGTAGGGGTTATTTTTAGTTATTTGGGATGGGAAAGTATTTGTTTGAATTTAAAAATCTTTATAATCCAAGAGAGTTGTAAATGTAAATTTATAAAAAAGCACACATTCTTGATTTTATGGTAACAAAATAAAAAATTTAAATCCATTTTATCCCCACAACCTCCAAGACTTTTCTGGGGTTGAGGGAAGAAAATGGAAGGAGCACATCTGGGCCCACAGGAAGCAGAGGTGTGGCGGGTTAGCTGTCTCAGCACTCAGGAGGTCTAGTTGCTCAGGCTTACCATATGGCTAACCCAGGACAAGACATCTACACTTGATGAACAGGCCAAACTGTAGTCCTATCAAAGCTGATACATTGATGTTCTGTCCCTGACTAACTTAGAATGCAGCTGTATTTGGAGACAGAGTCTTTACCAAAGCAAGTAGTAAGGTCATAGCCACACGCCCTAATTAAGGGTATGACCTGTTCCCTTATGAAAGCTACTTTGGGGGAATGCTTGTTCATTCGTCTGCACTGCTAGGATCCAAATCCAGGGCCACATGAATGTAACCTTAGGATGCATTAGAACTGCATTCCCAGAACCACGTATATCTTCATGAGATCAGGACACAGACACATAGAAGGAAGACATCCAAATGCTAAAGAGAGGCCTGAAGGAGAAAACAATCTTCCCAATACCTCAACCTTGTATTTCTGGTTTCCAGAGCCATGACAAAATAAGTCCCAGGCTGCAGCACTATGCTAACAGCAGCTGGAGCTGACATATTTGCTGAGACTTATCTCAGAAGCCAATGATATGCAGGCCTTTAATTCCAGCATAGGGAGGCAGAGGCAGGCAGATTTCTGAGTTCAAAGTCAGCCTGGTCTACAGAACAAGTTCTAGGACAGCCAAAGCTACACAGAGAAACCCTGTCTCAGAAATACAAACATCTCCTACAAAATAAAACAAATAAAAAGATACTATCTCAATCTCCCTCTGGGTAGCTGGCAGATCAAATTACATAAGCCAGTATTATATAAATATACCACATGATCTCCATCTGGAGGAAAACGATAAAAGCCTTTAATTCCATTTAATTTGAAACTTAAATGGAATTCTTAAGTTCTTGTTCTTGTGTATGCATAAGCAAGAAATTCATATATGCTCACCTGGACCAACACATTGAAACTACAAGATTAAAAAAAGTAAAAACAAAAGAACCCACTCAAATGTTTCAAGCTGCTAAATTTCTAGTAATTTGTTACAGCAGCACCAAGAAATTAACATACATCCCAGTACAGTAAGCCAATTTACAATAAAGCAGTAATATGCACAGACATAGGAATTGTGTAGCAGAACACTAAGGAAAGGAAGCACACCCAGAATGAAAATAAAATGTTTATATTTCTATAGATCTCAAGTGATATTTGTGCTGGCCAATACATGTTCACAGCTTTGTTAAGTTTCAGAGACCTGAGGTACAAAACAGTGTAAAAGTCTACACGATGATTAGCTTCCAGAGAAGGGCCATTGTGCCTAATTAGATGCTCAAAGATACTAAGGTTTCTACCATGTTCCTTCACTAGTATAGATACATGTATGCATTAAAATTTAAAAAACCAGATTGGAGAGACAGCTCAGTGGTTAAGAGCATTGAATGCTCATCCAGAGGTACTGAGTTCAATTCCTAGCAACCACATGGTGGCTCACAACCATCTGTAATGCGATCCAATGCCCTCTTCTGGTGTGTCTGAAGACAGCTACAGTGTACTCACATAAATAAAAATAAATAAATCTTTAAAAACAAATTAAAAGACTGGTACAGAGCATGCTCTACCTCTAGCAACATCTTCACATCCCAAGCATCCTTCTCTTCATTTGGAAAACTTTTCGCCATATTGAAGTGTCTTTCACCAGGTTTTACCTCTTGTGGAGACTTGAGAATTCGAATCTATACTTAAGAGAGAACATACTTAGAACAATTCCAAAACATCCTAAGATATTTACTGCATTATTTCATCATTAAAAAAACAAAACAAACCAACAAACACAAAACCAGGTGTGGTGACACACACCTTTAGCCCAGAACTCCAAAGCCAGAGGCAGGTAGATCTCAGACTAAGGCTAGCCTGATGTACACAGTGTGCTCTAGGATGGCCAGAGAGTCTGGAGAGATCCTGCCTAAGAAAAACACCACCAAAAACTCTATCAAAGCCCGGCATCTGAGAGCTCAAGAGATTTCAGCAGCTGAGAGCACATGTTCCTACTCAGGACTCAGGTTCGATTCCCAAGCATCCACTATGCAAGTTCATAACCTTCCACAACTTTATATCTAAGACAAAAAACCAGCATCTATATAACATAGCACTTGGTAGGCAGAGACAGGACATCACTACTAGTTCAAAGCCAATCTGGGCTACACAGCCGAAGCCTGACTCAAAAACTAAACACACGAGCCATACACATGCATGCACATGTACGTGTACACGCACACACACACGCACACACACTCAATTACCCACTCCCATAAAAAATGTTTTGCAACCCAAATTTTTTAACTCAAATATTTATTGTCCAAAACAAACTAAAAAACATATGGTATAGAAAACATGTCAATGAATTATTTATAAAGTTAAAGATGTATTAAATTCTCACATCCTCCACATTTGAAAAAACTGAGAACTTAGATTATATGAACCTAAGATATTTATTACAATTATAGCCAATAATTTAAAAATGAAGGGTTCAAATGAACACCACTTCTGTATCATAGTAGAGGAGACTATTAAAAAAAATGGCTTCTCCTTGCATGTGCATTTAAGACAAATTCCTATTAAACCCACTAAGAAGAAAGGAACAACGGTTTCTGATCAGAGACTTTGGGGAAAGCGTCTGGGCCTCCCTTCTGACTGACAATGTGGTAAGTGTAAGGGGAAGGCCAAGGTCAATTCTGATAACAAGTATCTGGAAACTCAGGATGATCACACACCTAAATTACACCCTCCAATTCATCTTCAATGGATTGAAGAAATTAGCATCTCTGTTCCCTATATTATCATGTTCTTCAGTTGTTTCCAAGTTCCTAAGACAAAAAGGAACTATTTACTGAGCCCCAAAAACCTGAACATAGTATAGTGATTTTAAAACCACTAAATCTGCTTTACATTATCAATAGGGAATAATATCTAACAAAACATAAAATAAAAAGCCAAAGGGCCAAGAGTATACAGCATATTGCCAGAATGTTAAATACAGACTTACATGTACATGCATAATACACATCCATGACACAATATTTTTGGAAAGATAAATCCTGACTGATCTAGAACTCACTATGTAAACCAGGCTGCCTGGAACTTACAGAGATCCTCCTGCCTCTGCCTGCCAAGGACTAGAATTATAGGCATGCATCACCACGCTAAGTAAGCGATTTTTTTTTTTTTTTTAGTTTGCCTTTGTTTTTTAAAAAATATCAATTTTACACAATATAACCTGTAAGACTATATGTTTTAATACAAAGAACCTGAAAGTTATATCAAAATATGTATTTTTCCAAAGAAACACTAAATTTCCAAACCACTGAAGTCAACTTTTTTTTTGGTTTTTCGAGACAGGGTTTCTCTGTGTAGTCCTGGCTGTCCTGGAACTCACTCTGTAGACCAGGCTGGCCTCGAACTCAGAAATCCGCCTGCCTCTGCCTCCCAAGTGCTGGGATTAAAGGCGTGCGCCACCACCGCCCGGCACTGAAGTCAATTTTTAGCAAGAATAATTAAGACAGTTCTAGTGTAGCACTAACAGCATGCTATATCAGCTAAGGAACAGAAGGAGAGATGACTTCTACTGCCGTGCATAAGCACTTCCCCTGCACTGTATTCTTGAGTAAATTTCTACAGATTCAAAACTGTAGGATGCCATCAGAATCCCCTTTAATTAGAATATCCTGTCATTGCTCACTTATATACTAGAATTCTAACCAAAGTCTGACACATGATCAGAAGAAAAAGAAAACACTAGAGGACATGAAAAATGATAATTAACAGATGAGAGGAATATAACAGCATTAAGAGGTTTCATTTCTAAAATAACTCTCAAGAGAGAAACTTTATCAACTAGTATTAAATACCAAAACACAAAACAATTTATCATTAAAAAAATTTCACAAGATGAGAATGTTTATGATTAATGTTAAGGTAGGTTTGGGGTTTTGAAAGAAATACATTTCCTCTATATTACCTCCTGGATCAGCTCAAGGCCTACTATTGATGAATACCTGTTCTATCTGTATTCCATAACCTTTAAATCCTGCATTATCCCACGAAGTATTCCGGTATATGTCATCAACTCGGTCAATCAGCTCTATCTGTGGATATAGAAAGTGAAGTTATGCAGAGCCCTACCATTCTTTTCAACATAATAAAACCTACTAGAATAGACATCTAGTGAAGAAAAATGCAGGATTATGAAAACTGGCGTTGAGAAACCAATCTTTATCACTGAAAGCTGTATCAAGAAGTTACCCCTAGAGCCAAACTTGAAACACTGCTATGATAAAGAATGTTACTGTCTACCTAACCTCCGGCTTTTTAAATACTGCCATCCCAGCCAACTATGAAAATAAAACGTCACTGATTTACCAGAAACTCTAAAAAGCAGTTGGTCTTTATTCTGTGTCATGAGTGCCTGAAATGTGGCCCTAGAACAGGTAAAATGGCAACAACTGCCTTTTTATTTTCCATCTTCCTGTGTGGGGGGGAAAACACGTGCGTGTACATGTATGGTTTTCACATGTATGGGCAAAGGTGTGTATAAATAATCATTTACGTTCACATGATAGAGCCAGAGCATAATTACTACATCATAAAAATAAACTACTTATCAACAAAAAGATTAAAAAAAAAACTACTTATCTTTTCTCAAAGAAGAGTTATCTGTTCAAAAAAAATGGATTAGCTTGTTTCAGCTATGAAGGAACAGTTCTTTGCTTTAAGTAGCAGTGAGAAATGCACTTTGAAAAAGTGACCCTCACAGTATGCTCACATTCATGATATACAATAAGAAGTAAACTATAAGGAGTCCTTTAATACAAACCCCAGATAAGGATTTTTTAAGAAAGACTCTTGCTTATGAACAAGAATTACAATGACTCCCACTATTCTCCTAATAAATTCATCCATGACAGAAGGAAAGGAACGAAGGCTGAAGGAGAGTTGGAATAAAATGGAGAGAATGGGAAAGAAGGCAGTAAGAAAGCTGTCTTTGCTGCATCAGGCTGCTGTTCATGAATAGCTGCTTTCTCTTCCATTCCCTCAATGACAACATTTTAATCAGTGCCAAGACACCAAGATAAATGGGGTCATACTGAGGAAAAAAAACAATTCCAGGGAAAATCATTTCCTTGGCTTTAAAATTTTAGTAGCTGATGCTAAAAGTTACATGTCAGGCTGGGGATACAGCTCAGTGCAAGGGCACTTGTTCACAGACTTGAGGTCCTGGGGTTGAGCCCCAGAACAATATTAAACTTTAATCTTTCCTTCCTATCTCTGCCCTAGAGTTAACTGTGGCTATGAGTGTCTCACTTATTTCCTATTCTATCCTAAGGTTATCTCTGTAATGAGACAATAACAAACATCTGTGGAATAGATACAAGCAGAAAATATACACAGGTTCACAAATATATATTTTTTACTCTCAAGTATAAATCCATGCACGTGATGCTAACGTTTGTAAAGAATTCACATGCATAAAGAAGGTACATTATAAATGCTCATTTATTATGTAGAAAAGTCTAATGTATAGAAAATAGTAATTTTAAAACAAAACCCTTTCTCATCATTTGAAAATGAAGTTTCTAAATAGAAATGTAAGATTCTAGTAAATGGTCCTCAAAATAACAGGAGGTTAACAGTATCTGGAGCAGGCCTGGTTTCTCTAAATAGTAAATTACTGCAGCCTTCTCTTAATAGAATTAATTTACCCCCATAAATGACTTGCTAAATTAAGCTGTATATCATCAAACACTTACTAAGTAATTTGTAGTGGTGCTCTCTTCTCCACGGCCCATGTATTTATAAAATCGGTGATCTGCTACCACCAGCAATTTACACGTATTCTTCAAGGGGTTAGGTTCAGCTCGTCTCTTCACTCGATGAACAAACTCTAATATGAATTTGTATGCACTATTAAATTAAAATTCATCAAAACAAGGAGGTTTTTTTATAGTAACACTTAGTTCTAATGTTTTTCTGAAACAAACATTATTTAAGCGCAATATTATTAATTTCCCCTTTTTCTTTTCCAAGGGGAAGGGTAGAGACTGGGTCGTTTGCAGCCTTGGCTGGTCTCAAATTCCCTATGCAGTAAGGATGTCCTTCAACTTCCGATTCTACTGCCTCTGCATACTTCCAAGTATGAAGATAACATTCATATGCCAAACATCTGTCCTTAATGGTATCTTGAATAATCACCATCATCATCATCATCATCAGGAAAAAGATAGAAAGTAAAAAGTAATATAAGGTTTAAAATTGTTGAATCCAAAACCAATGTGGCTTGGGGTACGCAAGACCCCAGTTCAAACCCACCACCACAAAAGGAAAGAATTTTTCATGTACGTTTAATATAGTAAAATAATCATCACTGGGCAATGAAGCCACTGGTCATTTTCTTCTAGAATTCTATGAATTAATCAAAAATAAAGTGAAAAAGATAAAATAAAAAATCAAGGTAACTGTACATTAAACTTAAGTAACAGTGAGCCAAGTGTGATGGCACACAGAGTCCCAGCTCTTAGGAAGAAGCTGAGACAAGAGGACTGAGAGCTGAAGCCCATCATGTGCTGCAGAGCAGACCTTTTAAAATAATTAAAATATAAGCAACCCAGGGTATCTGGAGGCATCTCTAAGATCATCAACGTAGGGATGCAATCTTCTCAGCTCCCTGAAGTATGTTCATGGAGTATGTAGACACACACACATCTGAATATCTATAAATAGGTATATACAAAAACATATTCATAGAATACTCATGTACATTGGGTTAGCTATGCTGTCAACTTGACACAAGCTAGAGAATTATATGGGAAGAGAAAATTTCAACTGAAAAACTACTTCCATGAGACTGGCTTGTAGGCAACTCTGTGGGGCATTTTTTTTTTTTAAATTAACAATTTATATGGGAGGACCCAGCCCACTGTGAGTGGTATCACTGCTATGCAGGTGGTCTTGGGTTATATAAAAAAACAAAAAACAAAAAAACAGAGCTAAAACCAGGCATGGTATCACATGCCTTCAATCCCAACACTCAAGAAGTTGAGACAGGTGGATCCCTAGATTCAAGGTTAGCTTGGTCTATAGAGCAAATTCCAGGACAGCCAGGGCTACACAGAGAAACCATATCTTTCTTTCCTTTTTAAGGGACTGTAAGCTATAATATGAAATAAACTCTTTCTTACACAATTGCTTTTGATCTTGGTGTTAATCACAGCACTAGAAAGCATACTAAGACATTCATACTTGTCAGTCAGGGAGCCTCACTAAAGTGGAAGCAAAATCATTATTCCTTTTTAATAAATTGTGTACACACAGTGCTATAAACAAATGTACCCTTATAATAGAAAACTTAAAAGATTAGTCTTCGTTAACAGAATACTTATCAAATAATCTAATTGCTTAAGAATTTATTATCAATATCCTAAAATGTTAGTAATGCTTCTCACGATCCAAATACTGAGAGCAAGCCTAGGTCAGTAGCACAAGCCTGTAATCCCATTTACTCAAGAGTGGGAGGCAGGACAGCTTGAGCCATGCAGCTCAAGCCAACCTGAGAAATTAGCAAGACCTTGCCTCTTCAAAAACATAAAAACAAAAATAATGAAGACAGAAGAACATCATTCCAACAATTTTTTTGTTGTAAACGACCCCAGATAATGTGTCCGTGACTGACAGCCTATGTGTACTTCAAACACCACAGAGCTCTCTTGCCACCTGACTAATCTCTTACAAGCTCTCAAGACCACTTTACAGAAATAGCATTTTGCTGTTTTTGAAGGTCTACAAAGTACAGAATTTCCATTAGGTCATTTCCCTGTCCCCTTCCTTAGTCTCTTTTAAGACAATTATGTCACACCTATTATTTTCTAGTGTTTTCAACTACTACTGAACAGAAAAAGAATTAAGAATTTCTGTAACAAAACTTTATTTTCAGACCAAATGCTTGAGTTATTTAATAGTCATGCTATTTTTATCAATTAACAAACACCCTGCTGGAAACAGTACGACATGCTTATGTCATGCCTGAAATGTATTTTTAAGTCTTACCTTCAGATGGCTCTCTGTCTATGAGCCCTTTCGGAAGCAACTCTTCACTCTCTGCATTTAAGTAACCACATACTTTTGGAGACTGCAAACGTGAAAAATCCTTGATATCTTCAGACTTATACACCAGCATTCTTTTATCTGTAGTATCGTTAACAAACCTCCAAAGTGGCTAAAAAGGAAACACAGATGATGAAATAAAAAACAAAAAACCCAAGAACTTCTAAACATTAAATAAAATTCTCACAACACTCTTGGTTCTTAGATAATATTGTTTCTTAGAGAATAAATTACTTGTTTTATCTTACAGTTTCTACACTGCAAATAAATTTACCACTATTCATTATTTTATGCATATTTCTGTACAAGCTAGTAAAGAAAAAAAGTCTATCATTTTCCATAAACCCATTTCAAATGTTTCTGTAATTCCTACTCTACTCCAGCGTTGCTACAGATGGTCACGCTGCAGTGACATCAGGTGACATTCCTATGTATGAGACTCTTACAGTTCATCCAGTACTCAGCCTCTTTGACATGATAGGTTTTATATACGGCAAAAACTTTCTTTTACAAGAGATAGTTGAAAACTCCTAATACACCTAAGCCTTCTATTGGTTCCCAAGAAAACAGATCTTTGTTTGTTCTAATCCGTGATATCAACTCCTAGCATCACAGAAACAATGACTCTAGAAGAGTCTGCATTTATAACAAAGGACCAGGTCACAGTAAATACAACCCATGTGCTCCAAAGGGTACACAAGTCAAAAGGGCTGTTTCCATTTTTACAAAGCCAAGGTTTCTTTAAATATACTGGTCTCATCTGTGAAGAATGTAAAGAAGAATTTTATACATAAAATTATGATGTATAAGAAAATGAGTAAGTCACCTCTTCATGCCCATTAGGACATCTATAATCAGACACATTTTGGTGAAACTGTAGAGAAATGAACCCTCACACAAGCTGCTGAGAATGCTGAAACCCTAACACAGGTAAAAGGAATGGCCTCCTACAGAGCCACAGGAAGACTCAATCTCAAACACAAAATGAAACAACACAACAATGGAGACCTAAGGCCATCCAATTAAATACATCCACCCAAAAGTATGTTCAAAGCTGTTCATGCTAGACATTTCTATTTCAAGAAATTAAAGCACAATAATTGATCATCAACAAAGGACTGGCTAAACAATGGTCTACTAGGAAGCCACCACTAAAAAAAAAAAAAAAAACTTCATTTAGATCTATATTTATTAACCTGAAAAGATATGCATAATTATATTGATAATTGAAAAACATGATGACATGCCGGGCAGTGGTGGCGCAGGCCTTTAATTCCAGCACTTGGGTGGCAGAGGCAGGTGATTTCTGAGTTCGAGAGTTCGAGGCTAGCCTGGTCTACAGAGTGAGTTCCAGGACAGCCAGGGCTACACAGAGAAACCCTGTCTCGAAAAAAAAAAACAAGAAAAAAAAAAAAAAAGAAAAACATGATGACAAACTATGTATTTTCTGAACCCAGTTTTGCAGGAAGAACAGCACAGCTAACTATACACTCAGCAAGCATGAAGAGGCCCTGGGCTCACTTACTGACACTACAAACAAGGCATGGTGGCGTAACCGCAGCATGTAGGATTAGGTTTCTTAAAGCACCCTGGGGTCTCCCATGTAGCTCAAATTGGTTCAGAGCTCACTATGTAACCCAAGTTAGCCTTGATCTTACAATGATACTCCTGCCTCTGCCTTCCTGGGTGCTAAACAGAGAACTCATGCCAATCTTCCTGCCTGACCCTCCCAGGTGGGATTGATTGCAGGGCTGATCCACCGTACTTAATTAGCCTTAGTATCTTAAAACAACCAAGAAGCTCTGTAATAACCAGAGAGACAAGCTGCTAAGAGAAAGACAACTCCAAAGGAAGGCAGACAGAAAAAGAGGCAGAAGATCTGGAGTTCAAGGCCAACTTTAACTACACAGCCAGTTAGGGGCCAGCATTGGCTGTAAAAGACCCTCTTTCAAACTCATGCCCCTACATACAAGGCTCTTATCTTACATGCAGACTCACCTCTATGTTATATTCTGCCCCGTCTGTGTTGATTCTTACTGTAACATCATCATCTCCTATGTGGGCTAGAACCCTAGAGCCAGGCTCACCTTAGGAGGAAAAAGATGTTTTTATTATCAAAAATTATTTGTTTCTAGGCCAGCAAAATGAATCACAGCAGGCCTAAAGGCCTTTGTCACCGAGCCTGATGACTTGAACTAAATCCCTGGGACCCACATATGGAGAGCACCAACTCCCATGGGTTATCTTCTGACCTCCATATGTGTCTGGGATGCATACACATACAAATACATAAACAAAAAGATAGATTACCAAATAATAAATGACTATTCACGGTTGACAATAAAAAAAAAAAATCAGGCCGAGTAGTGGTGGCGCACGCCTTTAATCCCAGTACTTGGGAGACAGAGGCAGGCAGATTTCTGAGTTCGAGGCCAGCCTGGTCTACAGAGTGAGTTCCAGGACAGCCAGGGCTACACAGAGAAACCCTGTCTTGAAAAACAAAAAAAAAACAAAAAACAAAACAAAAAAAATCAAGATAGGTCCTTCATCAGCACAGCCTTTACCTTGTTAGAATGAGAACTCTGCAAACAAGAGACACAATTCTGGAAAGGCCTAGTGCCTCAGTCTTCCCAAGAGGAGAAACAGGTCAGGTAATGGGACACTTCCCTACTTCCCCTCTGCATAATTTAGCCTAAATTTGTTCAGGAAAGAAATAAGAGCCTACAATCTCTGCAGTCAAGCAGCTGAGACAGGAGGACTGTCATGAGTTGTGGGTCAGCCTAGGCTGCCCAGTGAAACCCTATCTCAAAAAAAATAAATAAGGAGAGTTAACTGAGCATGGTGGCATACACCTTAATCCCAGCACTCAGGAGTCAAGCAGATATCTGCATTCTAGGCCAGCATGGTCTACAGAATGAGTTCCAGGGCATCCAGGGCTACACAGAAAAACCCTATCTCAATAAAAAAATAAATAAATAAATAATTAAAATGCTGTTTCCTTTTCCTTACCATAGAAAAAGTAAAAATCAAATTTAGCCAGGTGCAGTACTTCACACAGGATTCACGCAGGATGGGACAACAGTGTACTTGGGGCCAGTTTGGGCTACTTTAAGAGGTAAGGAAGGAGGGAGGGAAAGAGGGATGAAGGGAGGGAGGGAAGCTAGCTAAACAACATGCTAAATGATACCTACTTCCTCCTATTAAAATGCTTCTGCTCCCAGACTTACATAGCTTAAATAAAACCATGTAGCATACTATGACACCCTTTTCTCTACACATCCACCAAAATGAAAAAGGAAAGAAGACTGTAAATAAGTTAAAGCTGGAGACCTACGATGTTCGGAACCTAAAAATGCCTCCTAACCTCGTCAAGGGATTGATCCACTGATGAACTCACAACTCAGTAGGCTAATTAGAGGTGGAAGCTACTTGGAAAAAGTAGGTCGTGGGGATGAGCCTTTGAAGGATGTGCCTTGTCTCTATGACCCCCTCTTTCCTCCATGCTTCCTGGCCTGTGAGGTGAGCTGCCGCCTCCTCCATCACAGGACTCTGCCACGGTTCATCTCACCTCAGATCTAAAGCATCGTGAACCGAAACCTCACAAACCATGCACTGACGTAAATCCTCCCTCTCCTTGTTTATGCCAGGTTTTCCATCACTGCAGAGAGTGACAAAAGAAAACACAGCAGCCCAGAAATCATCACAGAACACAATTTTCAGACTCACCAACCACATGTCCGCTGAAGAAGTCCTGCCATTTCACGCTGTACTCGCTTTCCTCTTTCCCATCCACCACCACGACTCTCAAGTTTTGTGAAAAGCGTTCTGTACTTGATGTCAAGTATAATTTAAAATGCCTGAAGAAAGAATGCACTCACAGTTTAAAGACATAAAATAGAGGCCTAATTTTCACTTCACTCTTTACGATCTACAAGAGATGAGATGAATAATATCCACCCAAGTTATAACTCATAATTTTTTTTCAAGATTTATAACATGCGCACTTTGTCAGCACATACACTAAATTTAGGATGACACAGAGAAGATTGGCATGGCCTCTGCACAAGGATGGTAGGCGACTCTGTGAAACATTCCATAGTTTCTCTCAGAAAAAAAAAAAAAAAAGATTTATTCCACTGCTCTATGTGTCTATGTGTGGGCCTGTGTACACATGAGTGAGTGCCCACGGAGGCCAGAAGAAATGCTGGATCCCTTGAAGCTGGAGTTACAGGTGGCTGTGAGCTGTCCAACATGAGTGCTGGGAAACTGCAGTCTCCCGCAAAAGCACCAAGTACTTAAGCACCAAGTTACCTCTGCAGCCCCGCAGCAGCTAACAACTTACTAGGCACATACAGCATTATTCTTCCTGTAAGGACAAACGCACTAACTGGTTTAGTTATAAAACCTTAGCAGAACTCACTTTAAAACAGTCTTTAGCCGGGCAGTGGTGGCACATGCCTTTAATCCCAGTACTTGGGAGGCAGAGGCAGGTGGATTTCTGAGTTTGAGGCCAGCCTGGTCTACAGAGTGAGTTCCAGGACAGCCAGGTCTACACAGAGAAACCCTGTCTCGAAAATCCAAAAAAAAAAAAAATAAATAAAACAAAAACAAAAGTCTTTAAAGGAGGCATGGGGGCTGGCAAGATCACTCATAGGTACAAGTGCTCGTTTCCAAGCCTGATGACCTGAGTTCCATCTGTGGGACCTACATAAAGCAAAGAGAGAAATAATTCCCTCAAGTTGTCCTCTGACCTCCACATGTATGCCATGGCACATGTGCCCACATACATACACATACATAAAGAAAGAAACTATGAAGCAGACCTCTAACTGCATGAGGGTTCCACCCAATTGTTTTTCTTGTAGCACCTGAGACGCACTTGAAAGGACTGACACAGAGGCTATTTTGTTAAGCATTGTGTGAACACAGGGATGTTTGCAGCCACGCTTTTCTTTTACAGCATAGCTCTCTGGTGTCACCAAACATTCCCTGCCTCCATTCTGAAGGCTGCTTGAGCTTCAGGCACCTGCTGTCTGGTTTTTAAAGGCTAAGACTATTCCCTGCATTTCTTTCTAAGTATTAAGTGATCTATTTTTGCAAAAAGTACTGTTACATTAAGTGATTCTGTGTATCCTAGCTTAAAGAATGTACTTTAAAAAAAAACCCTTCATATTCTATATGGAAGGGAGCGGGGGGAGACAGGGGGAAGGAGAGGGAGGGTGAGACAGGGGAAAGAAGAGGGAGGGGGAGGGGGAGGGTAAGGGAAGGGGGAGGAAATGAGAGAAAAGAGCAGCAAGCTCATTAACTAATGCTTGGGGAATGAGGGTAAAAGCTTATGCGTTTATCTTTCCTAGAAACTGATTAAGAAGGAAATACATGTAGACAGTTGAAGGCTGAAGTTGAGTGTCCTGCTTATCGCAGAAATTCACTATTAAAGACTATGTTTTAAGACATTAATTACGGACTGGAGAGATGGCTCAGCGGTTAAGAGCAACGTCTGCTCTTCCAGAGGTCCTGAGTTCAACTCCCAGCAACCACATGGTGGCTCACAACCACTTGTAATGGGATCTGATGCCTTCTGGTGTGTCTGAAGACAGCAACAGTGTACTCATATACATAAAATAAATAAATCTTTTAAAAAAAGACATTATTAATTACATCTACCTGCTCTTAAGATAATCCGTGCATTATCTCAACTCATAAAGGTAAAAGTGGAGGCTCAGAGGTTACACACTCAGGTTACAAGCTAGTAAACTGTGAAACTCAACAATGGACTTGAGTGTTCGAAACCCCAGGGATTTGTATTCCCCTGCTTCTAGCAATCCACCTGGTGTCCTATGGAAGAACTCTGACTACTGCATACAATTACTAAAATGCTGCTGCTGTATTTATTTTAAAGTGCCCAGGGTTTTTTCCTCCTCAATAAAGTCTACCTTGAAAAACAATAATGCATAATTACTACTGGGAAAATAGATACAAAGCTTCTAAATGCAGATATAAAATATATGCACGGCAGTTCTTTATATGGCTTAACACTTTAAAGCATGTTCATTCTAAAATAAAAACTAGGTGTGGTGAGCCAGACTTTGCCAATATTTACAGAGACCTTTCAATGTGCCCACTAATACCGAAGGCAAAGCAAGATATATTATTCATCTCAGCCATAGGAACAAATTATTGTCAGCTATGGTGTTGAAAATATGAAATGTTACTTCCCTGTGGGTCTGCATAAATCTTTAAACTGCCAGGAAGAAATCCAGACTGGAACTGTCTCCAGAGCAACAAGTATTTTTAACTTTTTGAGCATACAAGGTAATTTTAGTTTTGCTTATGTATTTTTTGATGGTCAGAGAGAGACACAATACACCATTTCATAAACCCTTGGCACATTTCCTCTGCTATCCACAATCAAGTCCTCCTACACCAGGCATTAACATTAATGTTCTTTCCACTTGGGTTATAATGGAACTTTCAGAAGAAAAGCACCCCTATTACAAATGCTCTATTCAGTATTAAAGATCCCCATGAGCTGTAATAGTGGCTCTAATGTTCTTCCTAGGAAAGTCCCAAGAACTGCATTCTGGGTTTTCTACATTAGGAATCTGCTGTCAGGACTGGGGTGACTGGCTCAGTGATAGAGCACTTGTTAAGCCAATGTGAGGACTGATCTTTTTAGAAAGTGGCTGGTGAAGGCTGACTCCTGCAAGTTGTCCTCTGATCTCTACACATGTGCTATACCATAGCTGGAGCATAAATGCCCCCACCAGCAATAAATAACTAGTTAAAAAAATCTTAATGCATTAGAAATAAAATTTTCTTTTGAAGTTTACAAATAAGAAGCCTCTTTGAATCTGGGATATTTAGGAAATGAAAATATAATTATACTTCCTTCAGGTTTTTTAGTTGGTGGTGGTGTTTTGTTTGGTTTTTGTAGGTATAGGGTGGGTACTGGGGTTAAAACACAGGACCTTGTGTATGTTAGAAAAGCATTCTACTTGCCAGGTGGTGGTGGCGTATGCCTTTAATCCCAGCACTTGGGAGGCAGAGGCAGGCGGATTTCTGAGTTCGAGGCCAGCCTGGTCTATAGAGTGAGTTCCAGGACACAGAGAAACCCTGTCTCGAAGGGGGAAAAAAAAAAAAAAAGCACTCTACAAACTAAACTACATCCCCATTTCTCTGTGACAATTTGGTTTTTAAATCAGATGCATATATTACTAAAACAGGCACTTGTGAATCTTTGTACTTCATTTGGGCTCACGAGTACTCTGTATTACCAAGAAAACTAAATCTCACAAGACAGCCACTTACCTTCACCAGCCCAGATGAGAACAATAATCCAGAAGGGTGAGGCTACACCCAGGCATCATCCAGTAAAAATCAAGAGTCATGACAACTGATAAGGGCTTCTAAGGACACCCCCAAGGAACAAGAACTGAGACAATGACCGGGAGAACCACACCTTGATTAGGACTGTTTAATCATAAGTATCTCTTTCCCATGACCCAAATTTTTTCTCTGCTTAGACTTAAAAGCTCATGCTGGAACTTAGAAGATGAACTTGAGGGTCCCTGGACCCCTTCTTCCTAATGTGTGAGTCTCACAACTGGACTACTAAGTGGAGCCTAGCCCTTTGGGGCTGTTTGAGCTGTTCCTAGCACACAACAATGCACATATACTCACACAGACACAAAAAACATAAATAGTAAAAATGAAGAAGTTTTAAAAAATTTTTTAAATAGGTACCCAAGAGATAGCTTAGCAGCTAAGAACCCTGGCTGCTCTTCCTGAGGATTCAGGTTAGATTCCCAGCATCACAGCTCACAAACCAGTCCCAGGGACTACAATGCCCTCTTCTGGCCTCTTCCGGCACTAAACACAAATGGGGTATACAAACATACATTCAGGCAAAATACTCATATACAAAACGATGAATAAAAAACTTTAAAATAGGGCTGGAGAGATGGCTTAGTGGTTAAGAGCACTGACTGCTCTTCCAGAGGTCTTGAGTTCAATCCCCAGCAACCACATGGTGGCTCACAACCATCTGTATTGGGATCTGATGTCCTCTTCAGTATACATGCAAGCAGAATATTGTATACATAATAAATAAATGAATCTTTAAAAGTTTAAAAGGGCTGGAGAGATGGCTCAGTAGTTAAGAGCACTGAGTGCTCTTCCAAAGGTTCTGAGTTTAATTCTTGCCAACCACATGGTGACTCACAACCATCTATAATGGGATCTGATGCCCTCTTCTTGTGTGTCTGAAGATAGCTACAGTGTACTCATATACACCAATAAATAAATAAATAAATCTTTTTAAAGGGTTAAAAAAGACTTAAAATATAAAGTATTATAAGCATTCAATTAATAAAACTTTTAGGATTTTATAAACATTGTTACCATCAGTAATACTCTTGGGATACTCATTTTCTTTAAAATATTGATAAAAAATAAAATGTTTTAAGTATGGACTTTAAAATAGGCATTACAGGATGTTGCAATCACACATGACATGCTGTTATTACATCAAGTACAAACCTTTAAGAAGTAATTTAAGATTTCTACAAATACCTTTTTACTGCATTTGCCAAAACAAAACCCACCCCCACACTGTCCCATATTATTCTATGTATAATTCTAATTACCTTTGCAAAGCTGAAAAAGTTAGTAGTGTTTCTAAGTGTGTCGCAGACTGTAGGTCCCTTTTCCTTATGGAGTGCTGCTGGATATTAGATAAAGAGAGGATATCGTAGTCTGAGAGCAAAGAATCAAGCTTCTCTGAAATAAAGGTAAAAAAAGTATTAGTGGCTGGATAAATAGCTTAGTCATTTAGAGCACTTGCTGCTCAGTCATGAGGTCATGAATTCAAATCCCAGCACCCACATCAGACAGTTCAAAAATATCTATTAACTCCAGCTCCTTGGGATCTAAAGCCTTCTGTGGGCACCCACATGAGCGCTTACGTGCGCTCTCTCTCTCTCTCTCTCTCTCTCTCTCTCTCTCTCTCTCTCTCTCTCTCACACACACACACACACACACACACACACACACTTTTTTAGGGATTAGGGAAGCTGAAGAGGTAGCTCAGCAGTGAAGACTTTGCTGCTCTTCCATAGGACCCAGGTTCAGATCCCAGCTCTCACATGGCAGCTCACAATCATCTGTAACTGCAATCCCAAGAAGGGGAATCCAAGGCCCTCTTCTGACCTCCATGGGCACTAGGCATGTAGACGGTATACATACAGGTAAAACATTCATAGAATAAAAGTAAGTAAACAAATCTTTAATCAAAGTTCTCAGAGGCTGAAGAGCTCAATCAGCAGTTAAGAGCACTTGTTCTTACAGAGAAAGAGGAGCCAGGTTCAGTTCCTAGCATCCACATAGCAGCTCACAACCACCCATAAATTTAGTTCTGACATCCACCAGCATAAAACACACACACACAGACACACACACACTACACAGACACACAGGCATACATACATACATACATACATACATACATACATACAGGCAAAACAGTCATACACATAAAAAGTAAGTAAACAATTGATTTTAAAGGTTATTAGCACTTAAATCTAACAGCCAACTGTACCAGGCAATAAACTGAAGTGCTTAATTGCCCAGTACAACAATCACATATTGTTACAAAAAATCTGAACCTGAACTTAATAGAGATGTAAGTTCAGATTCTTAGTACATAAAAGGTTCAGATGCTGCCAAGTTAAATAACTAGTGAAGGAAGCATCAGCCACGCCTAGAAAGTTAGATTTCTACAGAACAAATGACCCAGTTTCTCCAGGAAGAAGGGAGGGGCAAGTAGTAACAGACTTAAGAATACAGAAATAGCTACACTGTAGGAATCACTCTGAATCATGGCAAACAAGTTAACTGTGGGGACATACTTAAACATTCAAAGAACTAAGCATGGACTGAGTGAGGTTAGAAACTAACAATTTGGTGTCTCTAAAGATTACCATATACACTTAGACTTTAAAATAAAAGGTATTTCTAGTGTGCATGTTTAAAGTGTCCAAAATAAAAGTAGTTGACAGAATATTTTCATTGGCAAACTGAGCTAAATCAATCCCTTTCAGTGGACGGTTAATAAGAAAGAGTAATGAATGTATGTATCAAGAGCTTTTGGTTTCTTAGAAACCAAAACCAGGAAAGTAAAGCTTCTTCACAAAGTCCCAAACCCAAGCTGAGTTCCAGACCTGTTCAGGCTTGTCAGTAAGACTCATCCTCCAAACCCAGAGCTGGGAGCAGCACCACTACCACTACTGCCCAACAGACACATCAGCATCCACCTGCTCAGTAGATGCAAGCCTAGGGAACTGATTCCTCAGCAGGAAACCAACACCAATTGCTTTACCCAAACAAGTCACCAGTGATTCAAGAAAACAAAGCTGCACTGGCCCCAGCTGAAGACAAAAGAGATTCAAAACTAGACTACTATAATAAAGTACACACCATTCCTCCTCAAGCTTCAACCAACTGACTCCCTGCCTCCTACAAAACAAGAACTTTTATATTTTTTAAGGTTTTTAACTTAAAAATCTCATGTCCCTCCAGTTCAAGGGGATCTGATCCAGTTCAAGGGGAGCCTTTCCTGGGCTCCACAGACAGCAAGCACACATTTGATGAACATACATACACATAAAATAAAAATAAATGATAGCTACCTAAAATACGTGAGTTGGTATTTTCCTTTCAACAATCAAGGATATTCAAATCATTCCAATGGACCTGGAATTCCTCAGAATAGCAGCAGCCTGTACTAGTGTTTATTATTACACAGTAAAAACTTAAAAACATTTTTAAAAGGAACACCAAAAACGTTCAATTATTTTATGTCAACCAAAAATTAACAACAATTCTATTTGGGCCACAGGAGTATACTATATGGCTACTTTTCCCAGGAACTCAAGCCTCCCAAGTGCTGGGATTATGGGCATTTATGTTTGTTTGCTTGGGTTTCTGAAAACAGGGCCTCACTGTTGCCCAAATTAGCCTCCAATTTACAGTAATCCTCCTGCCTCAGCCTTTCAAATGCTAGGACTAAAAATATGAGCCATCACATCCACCTTTTAAGAGATATAGAGATAGAATCTTCTGCAGTCTAGAGTGGGCCTGAACAGGCTGGTCCTTAGCCTCCTGATCCTACCTCACCTCCCGGGTACCAGCATTACAGGCCTGCCTGTGTTATCACATCCAGCCTTAAAAATATTTTTTTTAGAGTTTAAGAGACAGCTCAGAGGCTAAGTGTAATTGCTGCTTGTATAGATTTCTAGGGTTTAGTTCCCAGTATCCACTTGGTGGGTCACAACTGTACCTCTAATTCCTTAGGACCTGGCACCCTCTTCTGACCTCCAAGGATACCAGACACACAAGTGGAGCATAAACATGCATGCAGGCATAGCAATTATACATATTAAGTTAAAACAATGTTTTAGAAAATGAATCGCCGGGCATTGGTGGCGCACGCCTTTAATCCCAGCACTTGGAAGGCAGAGGCAGGTGGATTTCTGAGTTCGAGGCCAGCCTGGTCTACAGAGTGAGTTCCAGGACAGCCAGGACTACACAGAGAAACCCTGTCTCGAAAAACCAAAAAAAAAAAAAAAAAAAAAGAAATGAATCAACCTAAATATTCCCTATCAGTGTGCTTATCTACTCATTTGCCTGCAGCTATAAGCCAGGCACTAAATGAAGTCCAAGAGCTGAAACACAACAACAACAGAACAAAGTTCTTCCCCAAATGAACAATCATTTTAGTGTAATATACAAATATGCACAAGAAAAAGTACCCAAGCCAGGCCTGGGTCACACACCTAAATCCAGGCAAGCCAGAGGTGTGTGTTTAGAAGAGTGGGGGCTACATAGCAAATTCCAGGCCAGTGTGATACACTCACAGTGAGATTCTGTCTCCAAAAAAGGAAGAGAGGGAACAAAGAGACATAACGGAGGGAGGGAAGGAAAGAGAAGGAAGGAGGGAATGGAGAAGTAACAGAGGACAGTGCTGTGGATATTAAAGCAAGATAAAAGTACTGAATAGTTTCTATAGGGCGGTCAGAGAGAACACCTTACTGTTGCATAACACTTAAGTAAACCTGAGAAAGTAAGAGTGCAAGGCATGATGCTAGCTAGATGAAAGTTAATCAACATTCACTCAAGGTTCTGACTTAAAACTCACAGTTGCTAGATGTCACCCTTTTCTAACACAAGATGGACATGGCGGTTTGACACTGCCTTCATATAGCTTAGGGGCACCAATGGAAAACCTCCAAGAAACATGCTCCTTGGTCAACCAACTTGTGCAACAATTCCTAAGCTTTCTCTACTACACTTTTTACACAGAACATCCCAAGACTGTAATTCTCCTCCAAATGAAGATAAACAGGCCCAGATAAGACTAAGTAATATGTCTACCGTCACAAACCCTGATGCCACTAGTGTGCCAAAAAACCAAAGGACAAAAGAAAAATAAAGCCTAGTACAACACAGCCCTGGGTTGTTTTTTTGTTTTGTTTTGTTTTGTTTTGTTTTAATTCCACCCAGGCTGAAATACTCAAGCTTTAAAGAAGTGATGCTTTGGAACACATGTGAAAATAGTCTAGCCCTCTTGGGACTATCTACCTCTTTAGTTTTTGACTTCCTATCGTTTCAAACAAACATGGCATTTCTTCCCTCTGAAGTTTACAGCTCTCTGTCTTTTTTCTTGACACTTTTGCTTATGACATGTCTTATCCCACAGATGAGGAAATGACCAAAAAGGAGCCATGTTTACGCATCACAGCATCTTTTCTTGTGGCATTATTTCACAGGATTGCAGGCTGGCCTTGAACTTCTGATCCTGAATCCACCTCCCAAATGGGGGCCACCACACCTGGCTCTCATTATAGTATTTTACCACAAATTATTCAGCATGGGAGCTTGACTCATCAGGCTCACGTTCACAAACTACAGGAATTCTCAACACTGAGATGCCAATACAATCCTTCAGCTGTCAACTGCCTTGATACAGGCTGGAACATGAACTCAGTTTCATTTAAGATCATAATCGCACCTACTGACTTAGAGACCTAACTTCAATATTGTACTTTTATTGCCAGTAACACGGACCAGGGCTCCTCAGAGTGTGGCCCCCACCCCCACACACACCAGCAGCATGAGCAGCTCAGAGTTTGTTAGAAACACAAACATTCAGAAATCCTCAGTGTGGGGTCCAGCAGTATATGTTGTCTTCCAGGTGATTCTCATGTGAATTCAAATATGAAAACCACTAAACAAGTTTGGCAGCATGAGGGCTCCTACCAGTAACCTTAGTCACCAAAAGCTGAGGCAAGAATAGAGGATGGCTGGAGTTCAAGGCCACCCTAGGGAGAAAGAGAACCGCCTGCCCTCAAAGGCCTTCTTGCCCCATACCATTAAGAGGAAAAAAAGGAAAGAGGAAGAGAAAACCGCTTAAGCTAAAGTAAGCAAACAGCTAAAAACAATGCTTCCTGCAGCTAATACACAAGCAAGCCTGTGGGGACACTCAATATAAGGTTCTTTCTGCACTCTACCTTTCTTTATAGTAAGGCATAGTAGACGCCTGGCTCCTTTTCAGAGCTAACACTCATATGTTTAAGTTCCAGCTCACCCAGCTCACTTTTTATTTGGCTTTGCATTGCTTTTAAAAACAACCAGAGACCGGGCGGTGGTGGTGCACCCCTTTAATCCCAGCACTTGGGAGGCAGAGGCAGGCGGATTTCTGAGTTCAAGAGTTCGAGGCTAGC